GAGGAATTTGACTACCAGTCATCCTAACTGTATCAGATAGTAATATTTATTATTTTGTTTATTAAAAAAAACACTTAAAAATAAATATTTCTGGGATTTATTGGTTTCTTTTTAAACCGTAGCGGAGAGAGCTTGTAAAAGAAAATGCATTACAGTACATAAAAACATTTCTTCATGTTTTTGATTCACATCTTTAAAACATCTAAATTAGATAAACTTGGAGTGAAATAAGCAGCAGTTTAGTCATGTTCAGTTGTACGACATGCTAAAATTATATCAACCCAATCATGTAAGTCACTGCAGCAAAGACCTTTTTACTTTTGCACATTTGCGGCACAGATTCAAACTGAAACATCAGCGAAGCGAGAGCCTCTGAAATGTACCAGCTTCATGTGTGGACATGTGCTGATTGCATCCAGACAAACAAAAACCTTTGGCAAGCTGGCCTATTAACGAGCACATCAGGCACAAACAAAGCTCGAGCTAAAAACAATCTCCAGAACCGTCTTTAGTTTACTCGGTCGCTGGAAGCCTCTTTGTTTAAACACGTGGCACATTTGGTGAGTCTTTTTATATTTAACTGACCTATTGCCAGCATTAAATCTTCTCTCTCACATATATCGCTCCTTCATAGAGCACCCTCATCATTTTGCACAGAACATGCCAGTTATCAGAGCAGAGGAGGAAAACAAGAAAAGGCGAAACGTGAAACCTCTCGGATTGGTTTCCTGCAAGTTATTACTGATCTGTTGTTTATGTAAATATTGTCAGTTCACTATAAATGATGAGACTCGGCACATTCAAGGGAAAGTTGCATATTTACTTAAACTAGAGCTGCTGAAACATGAAACTGTTAAACATCAAATCTGACATTTTTGTGAAACGTGTGCATATATTGCAGCTCCATTTTGTATAATGTATATTTTTCTACTTTCTTCATATTAGAACCAACTGACAACCTGAGGATGAACACTTGATTCTCTGTTTCCAGTAAAGGAGCACCTGCAAGTAGTCAGTTAATTATCAGCTGGTTAAATCAGAAAGTAGGTCACGTAACTCTCCGTTGGAGCCGCTCCATGCATTCCGGAGGTAAGTGATTCCTCATCAGTGCAGACTGAGAGTCTGCATAAAGTAAAATATGATTGATTTATGGCATTACTGGGCCGTGGCTGCAGAATTTTCTAAAACATTTTCTTGTCCAACAAAAAAGAAGTTAGGAAAGCATACAGCTCTCTTTTATTAAGGCAAAAATCTAAAATCATTTTTTGGGTATGTTTCATTAAAATATTACATGTTTAAGTTATTGCTGAACAGGTAAAAACTAAAATTATTTAGCATTTTTAATTGTGAAATAAAAAAAAACAAAAAGGTTTGGGGCCCACTGAAGTAAACAAATTAAATCCGAAGAGAAATTTAGCTTAAAATATTCCATATTAAATGGCTTCAAGGTGAATGCAGCCTGAGAACCGGAGAGAAGAGATACTTCTGCTGGGTAAATTACTTTGTAGTTGCAGGTGGCATTTTGTCCTGCTTTAGAGCGGTTCTCAAGCTGCCATGGGACAAGCGGGTGACACGCGCTGCCACCCTGCCGATTCATTGCCGGCTCCTTAATATAGGATGTAGCTCAGGGCTACGTCATGTCAAGGACTGTGTCTGCATTCCTGGTACTGGTGGAGGAGTTGTGGAGCAGAGCTGTGGCGGCTGCTGGAGGACGCAAACTGTCTGTCTCCGCGTGTGAAGCAGGAGTTGACACAATTTATTTTCTTGTAATGAAGCTTGAAGCTCTTAAGGTTCTCTGACTATTTGTCAGGTGCAGAGTCTGTTTTTACCTTTTTGGTCAGCACTGACTGGCCAGCTCTCAAAATAAATTGCAGTGGAAATAAAATTAGATGTTCACCATGAAGTCGACAATAAAAACAAGAGGAATGCAGACGTTATAACCTTTTACACTGATGCAGAAACACGTATAACTCTTGTGTTGGCAAACTAAGACGGAATGAGGAACATTTGCATTGCAACCTACATTATTATAAATATTTATTTTGGTTTTATAATGTTCATATAGGATGAAAACAGACCTATGACATAAATTCACCTGGTCTGGTCTTTACTGGACAAAGTTTTCTCACTATCCTGCATGTTTCATGCATTTCTCTGCCTTCACATATCCAACTTAAAGAAACAGGTGATTGAAAGGCTTCGTACCTGCATGCAGAAGAGGCACTGCAGGTGTGCAGGAAAACATTCAACATAAGAAGTGCAGTGAAAGATGAGGGGCAGGATTGAGCATCTCAGCTTGACACCCCATCCAAACGCAGACGAGATTAGCCGCAAGCTTTTTGTCGTTTATGTGGCGTTCACACACATCCGGAGTTCTGGGAGACCAGAAATGATCATTTTGAAAACGTGTCCCAGAAGAATAACTTGCTTTGTTGAAATTTTATTATTAAATAAAGAACTACATTACAGAGACTGTCAGTTCAGCCATGCTAACTCTGTTGATGTAGATCTGAAATGATATGCCTCTACTTTTCATTGTCATAGTTTTTCTTCCTACGTTGAAGCTATTTTAAAAAACTGTTATCGGCTAACATCGGTATCAGCAGGTCTGAGGATTAACCTGCAGCTGCAGACCAACCTTCTCTACAGCCGCTACAACTGCATTGTAACAGCTGTAATAGTCACGATACGCTGAATGTTTTCAAAAAGAAACCTTGAAAACACGCCCCTAAAGACTTATTGATGCGTTGCTTTGTGGAACAATTGGCCTCTTAAATACAACAGAAACACGGAACCGCTCTCAACTTTCTTTTGCATTTATTTTAAATCAAGTACTTCACTAGAGCAGCGTTGTTGTGAGGGGAAGAAATACAGCCGTGTTGCTCTGTATCAGAACAGGTAATAAATGTGTCATGATAATTATGTGCAGGTTGGACAGTGAACAATTAACATTATGTTCAATGCCAACACTCTAATTGCAAGTAGGTTTCCAATGGTGAAGCTAAATGGAGCGTAGGAGGATGGAGGTCAGAGCCGTGACTTTCATTCAGAGAAAGCAGAGAATGTTTCCAAACCAGACCTTCAATAAATGGGGTTTCTTTTTATTTTAGACATTGCAATCATTTCCTAACCTCAATCAAGAATTTTACAATCCTACCCTTACAGGCAAACTAATTGCTTTGGATAAATATTTTTAAAAGCTCTCTCTTTTCTCCTCTATCTTAATACCAACATTACAAACAAAAATGCATCAATTATGAAAATGTGAGAGATTTTTCATCCTTTCTGTGCGACAAAGGGTAAAAAAAAAAAAAAAACGAAAACAAATTAACAAAAGGTCCATAAGTCTAACACATGGCGTATTCAATTTAAAACGCGTTAATGTCTGAAAGAACAGGACATTTTATAGAGCCTAATTTCAACTTTTTCAAAGCACATTCGAGAAAATCATGGATCAGTAGAGGAAAAATATCATGTGCTCATAACATTTATGTGTGAAATAAAACAGGAAATAGTAGCTGTCTTAGCTGACGCAATAAAACCGAGCGTCCTCTTATTTGCTATTCAGCACATTTTGTGACTTTAATGCAAACCTGTTTTAAATCAGCTCTGTTATTACAGCGAAGATGCAAAGACATGCTGCAGGAGCCGAGGAGAGCATCAGCGTCGCTCCATCACCTTCAGCCCAGGTTCTGTTGTAGTCAGATGAGGAACCCGATGACAGGTTAAGAATAAGGGTTAGATTTCCGAAACGTTGGGCTCTTTAAAGCTTAGAGGTGTATGTCTGCCCAAGCATGCCAAATTGGCAGTGAGTTCAAAGAGAATCGGTAAGAGCAGAGAGTTAAGGTGAGACCCGGTTATCTCTCTGCAGCTCTAAAGCCTCTGTAATGATGGCTCCATCAGCCTCCCTTTGGAGAGCGGCGGACCACAGCCCCCAGGATCTGCACGACTCATTTTCAGCATCACAACTCGTGCTTTCCTCAAGACATCACATCATCAGCTCTTTAGCCTTCAACACGCAAAGTGGAAGATTTTAAGAAACTGAAGAAAAAATATTAATTCTCATCTCATCGTTATGAATCAAATCAAATTAAATTTGTATAGCACATTTCAGCAGCAAGGCATTTCAAAGTGCTTTACGTCATTAAACACAAAGACACAGAGTCATGCAACGTTGAATCAACAATCAAAAACATTAAATTTACTGCCGAGTCGAAGTTCTGCCCCTATGGGTGAAAAAGAAAATAAAAACTCCAACCGGCACTCCTTTTCAACAACGGGGGCTGCAAAGAGTAATAAAACCTCTTTGCAGCTTTTAAATTAATGTCAGAAACTTTGACCATCCCTGAAGGGCAAATCTATGAAACAGGAGTCTGAGTTGGTCTTTTATCTGTTTCATATTTTGCCACTTTGTAACCAAAGTCTCATCTATTTTTTCCGAATGATATGACACACCAGCACCGTCTGAAAACTGGACCATTCTGTGTGATAAACTTTCATCCAACCCTCTCCGTTGTTCCTCCAGCTGTGTCATTTTAAGTCTTTTTAGCCTTTTACAGTTTTTCTTCAGACAGTGTCTGTGTTTAATTCCCTCCATCATACCTTAAGATCCGACTAGCTTCCTGGTTAACTCCTGAAGCAAAGCTTCCCTCAGCATGATACTACCACCACCATGTTTTACCTCAGGAATAGTCTCCAGTCATATGTGGTGAACATGTTGGGATTAGATGGGATTCCTATGAAATCCTTATCTGTCTCTAATGGTTAAATCCACAAAACACAGTTGTTGCATCAACAGATCCTGATATCATCCAGAGCTGCCATGACCTCTTGGCTGCTTTATCCCTGACCTAGCTGCTGTTTGTTGGTGATCATGATACTTTTTGTTCATTAGTAAACCTCTGAGGTGTTCTCCACTCAGCTGGACTTACACTGAGACAAACAGCTAGCATCTTTTACTGAAATAGTTTGGCTGCACTTGGCTTTGAAAGACAGTACAATGAAGATTTTTTAGTTTTTATGTGTTGGTCTGGCATGTAAAGAACCTAAAACACATTAAAAATATGAGGTTTTTCACAAATAAAATGTGTGAAAGTTCAAGGTTTACAGTCGATACTTTCACAAGGCATTGAGTTTGTAATAAATAAGAGAAAATTGACAAAACTTCTGATCTGGTGTATCTTCTTTCAAGTTAGAAAACGTGGTATTTGCTGTAGATCACAATTCAAGATCCAAAATTCTCTGAAAAACATAAATGATGTTTTTTTTTTAAATCTTCCTGCCAGCTATTTGCTTCATCAAAGCGTTGTAGCATGCAGGCTCCATCTTGATGCTGCAGGTGCCCCAATCAGCCAACACAAGGCACTGTGGTGAAAACAGGGATGAGAGCCCTTATTGGCTTTCCACCTCGAGTGCTTGTTTGAACACATGAGCAGGCCACAGTCTCCACCTGCAGTCAGCCTCTATCTTAATGGCAGCAAAGCAAAACGGGCAACCCGGCTGTCAAATGAGAATTAGAGTATTTTAGTTATACTGTGTGAATTCTTCTTATTAAAAAAAAACAACACACACACTGTCCGTCTTTGTTAAGGCTGGTCAGTCCTTGTCTTTACTTTTTCCTCCACTGTCCATCATTTTGGCTGACAAGGTCAAAAGATCCAGTCATTTTACCTGTTTATTTAATATAGTAATAATAACATATTGAATTGCATTTAATCTTCATTCAGTTTAATTTATATTCAGTTTGTACAAGCTGAGCAGAATATCCACATTGTACCATCACACATCAAGAAGATCAATACATGTAACTTTGTCTCTGCAGTGACAGAAAACACTGACTGTGAACCCAGTAACTACATGTAGTTACATGAAGTTACATGTAACTACATGTTCAGTTCAAGCTAATTTATCTGTGGAAGTAGTGCAGCTAGTTGGGTTCACAGACAGCAGGAGTTACAAAAGTTAAAAACAGTTAAAAATCAACCCGGACCTTCTCCCTCCTGATGTGTTTGTTGATTTGATCAAGCTGCAGCCTTTGTCTGAATTTACATCATATTATTTATACCACTGACATCAGAGCAGATTTATAAGTGAACCAACTCTAGATGTTTGCCTTTTTTTGTTCCTCATGCTGGGCTACATGATGGTGGGGCATTTTCTCCTTGGTTACCAATGGTTAGACACATACCTTCTCCATAATGTAATATTTAATTGCATTTTACTAATCTTACTTATGAAGTATACATGAATGGCCTGACCTTATAGAAACTGCCAGTCCGTTTGATTGACAGCGCTGTCGGCTTTCTTCATTTAAAGATTCTCAATAAAATGCATCCTTTCTGTTCGAGCAGAAATACTGACAAATGATCTGAACCTCACTTGTGACAAAAACAATTAAAGAGACTTTTAAGTTGGCAGCACTTTTTCATAATAGTGTGGATAGCCTTTTAAAGTGGACCGGACAACAAAACTCCCACAATCAGAGCCAACATTTCACTGAAAACTCTCGTGTTCCTCCTAAATCCCAGGTTTGATAATAACCCAGAAACTCCTTTCCAATACCCTGAAGAAAACTGCAAGGCTGACAAGTGTGACCCATCAATTGTTAAGACATTTTCCTTTTGGACAAATCTCAAATAAATCTCGTCCACTCCTGATTCAGACTCAACCTATGAGTTGGTGACCTCCACTCAGGTCAGTGGTTGTCTTCTGAAAAGTTGCAGACATTCTGATTTCAGACTTTACTTGATTTGGACCAGTAATTAAAACTAAATTCAGATATAATTTCATTTATTTTAATTGGAGGGGACAAGGCAGTAGACTGCAGAGGCACCATGCCTGCAGCCACTGTAATAAGCTGCGTCTTCATCCAAAGCCAACTGCTAAATGTTACTTGCAACAAATTAAAACCGAGCCTAATTGAAACAGTTTCTGGCTATTGTTAGCCGTGTCCTTTTATACCACCACTTCCAAACTCATCAAAACAAAAACTGTAATTTGTGGACCTGCTTTTAGGGAAAACTGTTTCAGTTCAGGTTACAAATGTGATTTGATTCTGTCTGACAGTCAAACAAATGTCACAGGAAAGCTCTTTAATGGGTACTAACCACAATTAATTGGATGTTTGTGTTAAGGAGTGGAAAAAAAGACCTTTTGGTAACACAGGAGGATGTGTGTTTTCGTGTCCATGTGCCATTTTTAGCGAAGGAATGCTGGAAACCATTACTAACTTTATTTGCAAAATGCTTGTGGGTCTGAGTTTAATTGGAAACCAATTAAAATCACAGCATGAAAACTCTTATAATAGTCAAGAGCTTGTCTACAAGAATTCAAGTTTATAGAAAATGCCTCATTTCACTAACACTTCCCATTTAGTCTACACTGAGGTTTTAGTAGGGGCCGTGTGACATGAAAGGCGGCGGAGGACACAGCAACTTGGTAATGTGCAGCTCAGAACATTGCAAACTGCAAAGCCAAGGATGCCCCGATTCAGCCGATGACCTTGCCAGGCGGCCAGGCATTTATGAGTAGCAGGATCCTAGCTGTGATATGTCAGCCCTACAAGAAAAAGTACTTGTGTGCTCACTTCCACCGTGACCGCAGCTTTTTTGGTTCAGCAAACAACAGCTCTTTCAAAGGTTGCACTCATTTAAGGGCTCCCAATTGGGCACTGACCTGCCAGCCTGGCAAAGTGTGCGCTCATTTCAGTCGAAGCTCTTGACTTGACTTTTTTTCTATTACAGGGAAAAATGGCCAACAACAAAAACTGGAACGCTACGTGGAAGGAAGGAAATTTAAAAAGCAAACACTCCCTGATTCAATTGCCACAGCAGAAAGATTTTAATTCACTTGGGCTGATCTGAGTGAATAAATATTTTAATCACTTTTTCATGTCATGGAGCCAACATGGATGGGCTGATATTTTCAATGTTAATCCTAGAATATGACTCAAATGTCAATATTTTTGGTTGTAACTCTTGAACAGATTGGAAAGGATGGTTTATGGATAAAAATTGACTAATGTAATCCTATCCAAATTTGGAGATTACAAGAAAACAAATTTACATCTGACAAATAAAGAAATTTTGCCTGTTAAAAAAGAAGAAAAAAGTATTTTGAACTTCAGCTGAAGCAAACTTTCTGGTTGCTGAATGGACTGGAATCAAGCATTGGGGTCTTTTAAGATTTGTTTTGTCTCCTGAATAAAAAAAGTCTTAATTTTTTAAGTCCTTTTGACAGCATCAAGTCCTTATCGTGTCCTAAACTGCTGTCACACTGCTGCTCCCTGTTCTGCTGTGTTTGCTGGGAAACTAATGTGTTACAAAGATCTAAACATGACCAGGATGCTGCACAACTTCATGTTTTCACTTCCATTTTAAATTAAGTTTGTGTATTGGGATTAACGGTGTGGAAGTTATTTTTTCGGCTATATTTAGATACGAATGTCACCTTATGTAAAGAAACGTGACTGCAGTGACTGGAGGATCTGCAATCAGTCCAGCATGATGGTACAAGAACTTTCTCCTACGCCATGTTTAGCAATAATCTACTCATTTTTTATTTAGCACACTCCTTAAGATGCTATAAATTACAAATACTACAGAAACAAAATTATGTTGCCATGCAGTCAGAGAATAGCTCAGCAGAGCAAGTTAAACCCTGATGCAGCAGAGGCAGGACAAACAGAAACAGGATTCTAGTCCTCAGGAGTTTCCATCCTGTAATTTATAGATGCATTCCTTCCCACGAATAATTACTGGCTTGACAGCAGAACTACAGTGATGAGGGGATTCAGCCACTTGATTCAGGTTTGTGGGAGATGGGATGTCGCCATTTGCAGTAATATTCCCAGGACCGAAGCTCTACGGTGCTGAACCTGGAAACTTCAAGTGGTGGACACACATCCGCTAAGCACTTACTGCCCAGCAAATGTTTCTGCTTTGTGGTTTAACGCTTGGCTTAATGTTTTACACACTTTGCTTCCCATGAATTAATTTTTTCCAGATACATTTTAAAGCACTTCAAATTGACCTAGATTTCCACTTTGTTTCAGTTCTGGTTCAGGAACGAATCTGTGGACCAGCAACTTAATTAAAACTCTTTCATGCATAACGGTCACTGCAGTGGACAGCTATCTAAGGGTGCGTTCATGCTGCAGCCTGAAGTGACCCAATTCCGATATTTCTGACGACCTGTATCCGATCTTTTCATGGCAGTGTGAACAGCACAGGTCGGATTCTTTGTCGAATCTGACCCATATCCGACACGTATCCGATTCAAATGCGACCTAACGTCCAGGTCGCCTTCATCCGAACTGAACGTCACTGATTCTCAACAAATCTCACTATTCTGCGTCCTGATACGCGCAAGTGGGAAGAAAAACAACAACCATGACGGACTATATAAGGATTAAGTTGTTAATATGCTGCTCCGGCCGGACAACAACTTCAAATATGTAAGCTAAGCTCCACCGTTAGCCTCCATGTTTACTTCCGCAAACACTGAGCACTTCTTCTTTTCATGGCAGTTGGCAGAACACTGAGAACGCTGACGCTATTGCGCCCTCTACTGCGCATGCGGGACACTTTCAGGTCGTTTGCCCGTTTACACTGCAGAATGCATACAGGTCGCATTTACTGGCAGTGTGAACGGACCTAGCAAAAAAATCGGAATTACCAAAAACTCGGAATTGGGTCACTTCATACTGCAGAATGAACGCACCCTTAAAGCTATTTTCTTGTGTTTCTTGTGGATTTTTACTAGTGTATCATGCAATACACTGCCAACTACTGGCCATCCACTGCAAGTGCAAGACATTTTTTGTTAAATCCAATATGGCCGACAGACGAAGAAGCATGCTAACCAACCTAGTCCCTCCTTCCACCTTAGAGGATTCTTGAAAAAAATATTATGAAATCAAGTAACCCCTAACAACCAGTTAAACTGATGCATTTTCCAAAAAACAACTGATCACCTAGAAAAATTCCTACAACATTTTTTTTTTTCATTTTTACAATTTTTTCCACCTTGTTTATGCCTTTAGAAAATCAAAAACACTTTGGGGGAAAAAAAATCCTGATGTAAAAGATCATACTTCATGATAAAGCTGTAAAAAACGACCTATTGACTAAGCTGACTTGGTTTCATCTGAGCATTTAGTTAAAGTAAAACTGATTTTTCTTTCAGGATTTTGGTTTTACTGTTGTCTTTTTACTTTGCAGTTTTACTCTGTCCTGTTGTTTCCATCTGTTCCCATCCGCTCAGCTTTTCTTTAGTTGGTTTTTGTGTAAACTCTACAATACGTGGCAGCAGCAATAATTAGATTTTAGTTATTAGGTTTCGGTTTTAGTAGGGAAGTCGGAATGGCTTTCCACTGGCTTAACATACCAAAGTGAAACTCTACTTTATGAAAAAATTAGACAATTGTTTATACAGAAAACTAGACCTGTTTGCCTAGCTACAATCATGTTTATCTTTCTTTGATTATTTCTCTTCACATCAGCGGTCCTCATGACAAAGCAACAACGACTTTACCATCCGTTTTAAAAATGTACTCGATTACAGCGCCCAATAATCGAGTCATCTCTCCATCCTGCTGCTTTTATAAAACTCAATTCTCACATCCTAAATGTGAAGATAATATAACAGTTCTTTTTATGATGCATGTAGTGTTTAATGTATTAAAATGAATATTTAAAAATATTACACCTGCAGGCAGCATGGAGCATTGTAAAGGACTGAATGTGTTGGTGTTTGATGGCGAAGGCCAGAAAATTACTTTTCTATAAATTGTAAAACGGCCTGAGGACGATGTTTTTCAGGCTACCCTGTAGTTCGCTTCCAGCCTGGTACAAAACAACATTTTCTGGGTTAATGTAAAACATATATGTGTTCTTTGCTTCAAGCATTGGCTCCAATCACCTCACGTCTCTCTCCCACGTCTCCTGAAGTGGCCACTCTCTGCTAAACTTTCAACTTATGAAGGTTGTATGTGGCACACAATTACAACGAGAGAGTAGGAAACGGCTTTACTACTGCATATACAAACGCCTGGGTGGGGTGAATCCAGGGTGTTGCGGTTAGTTTGTAGGTTGAGATGGCTGCCATCCGCGTTTCTGAGGCAACATGTGAAAATGAGGTCTGGTGCCAGATTGAGGAGAGCCGATGTTTGGCTTTGAAGCGGAGCAGCATAGCTGTCAGAATCAGTCATGGATGGGATGCTCCTATCCACAGCCTATTAGAGAGCTGTTTATCAATGCAGCTGCCAATCAGAGCAGCTCTTGCTTTGCCTGTTCTTATCTGAACTCTATAACTCCTACATATAGTGCAAGTCCTGTTCATTATGTGTGGCTTGTACTGCCAGATCCCGCGTCTAATGCAATGCTGGAGAAGCAGTGGGGAAGCTGTGAATGCTATACAACTGCAATGCTCTTGTCTGAGCAGATGGCTGCAAGTGTAAGTGTTAGGAGGAGAAGAGAGTCTGACAAAACATTAAGATCCAGCCCAGAAATACCAGAAATGTTCGTGTTCCTGAAAGTGTACTAACTTGTATTTTTTATTTCCCATTTGGTTTGCAGACTGGCTCAGCCGCTCCCTAAAAGACAATCCAATCATATTTTTTTACCCTTAAAGGAAGTAAAATTCTTAAAATAAGAGCAGAAGTGTGGGAGATATTTTTTCATAAAGGTTTCCTAGCTCTAATATCGACATCAGAAGAATAAATCCAATAATGCAGCTTTTCTCCTGAAAATGATGCCATTTTGATGGACTTTATAGCATAATAAGCTGCGCTGAATTTATGCTTGTTAAATATGTCACCATTTATTCAGAACTACATGAAACGACGACTGTCAAACAAACAGGCCACAGATTAAACCTAAAATATATTCAATAACGTGCACTGCATGCATCACATCTAAGCGATCTAATTTTCATTTCCCGTTTACTTTGGCTCATAGAAAAACCTGCATACAAGAGGATCTTTATTTTAAGCATAAAGTCCATCAGATTTATGGATTTCACATTGATATTAGGCTTTTGTTTTATTTTCCCATGGGGGAATTACATTACAACATCAGCTCCGATAATCATTAAAGAAAACAAAACAATTATTGTGATATTTCTTAGGTCAAAAATCAAACATAAAGGCTCAAATGTATCATCACTTTGTGAAGCCGTCAACAAAATCCAATTCTGGGTTGGTTTTGTCAGCTCTTCCTCATACAAAATTGATACATTTTAATTGCTTGACTGGTTTTCTAGCTTTTAAACCAAAATGGTTTGTCTAAAATTTAAAGCTGAGCTGGTCAAATGACTTCTGGAGAAATATTTTATGGTCAGACAAAACAAGACAAGTAGTACATCTGAGAAACTCGAGGTAAAACTTTGCAGGTGTGCAAACAGAGTAAACCTACATATTGACTTTTTTCCAAAATAAAAGGCATAAAAAATAATTAACATGAAAAAGAGATTTACAGAGAAACAAAACACAACAAAACCCATACAACATAATCAAACCAAACCAAAAGACAAACAAATAATCAGCATGGTGCAGATAAAAAAAAACACAAGATCATCCTCATTCAGCATAGTTGAATATGAAATATATTGAAAATCCATTTGTATCGTATTTTGTGACATTTTTAGTGATAGTGTTTGCCATCTTACTGATAAACAAACTTGTATGCCTGAGGGAAACAATAATGTTTTCTAATATTTTAAAATGTATCCAATAGTGCTACTGACACTAAAGTAAAACAGACGAGCCACTGCCTTTCACACAGCTATCACCCAATATTGCTGTGGTCTTTACAAAGTTAAACTCAGATTAATTTTGGCTATTCAACAAGTGACTGAGGTGTCATTTTACATTACCTGACTCAGGAGCCGAGCGCCTGTCAGTTTTTATTTAAATTGAAAAATATGTCTACCTCTCCTTGTTCCACCGGGTGTAAACACTTCAGGTGCAGATATATTATTTTTATTGGCTGATTCTATTTTGCCTGGCCTTATTTATCGCTTTAATCAACCCAAATAAATTATGTATATCAAATAGAGAGCTAGGCCCTTTCAATCTTGTGCCATTCAGTTGTGTGTTCCCTGGAAATCTGCAGCTCAGGTCTGATGGTTAAGCGTGTCAGTGTGCATTTCTTTATTTTAAATTTTCCTGTTTCCCAACACTTTGCTAAGAGAAGGCCTATAAATGTAATTTCAGCAGGACTTTGGAGGGGCTCGCACTGGTTAATAATTCAGCTCATGAGCTTGAGGCTTGCATCGAGGTGAACGATGCAGCGGTCTTGTTAAACATTCATGTTTCAGCTTGCCCGACTCCTGGAAGGCATTTGACCGCTACAGCGATATTTCAAAAGGTAAAGGCGTCTCATAGATATTAATATCAATTTGATGTCTGTGGTGTCAAATCAGCCCCTCCTCAACAACAGCACTGAGCCACTAATCTTGTTTTTTTTTCTCTCTGACTTGCTGGTATGTGGTTGCTGCATCCAGAACATTAAAATTCACATGTTTATGTTCTGTGTTGCCAGGACAGCACAAAGTTCATGTTTGCTGTCTGTCCAGCTCAATGAAAAAATGTCCTTCACATGAACATATCATGTAACGATTCCTCGATTGTTAAAATTCCTCGAGGAAAATTATCTGCCCCGAAGCTTCGTTAAATTATGTTTTATTATTTAGCGGGTCAGCTTTTATTTTGCACAACGCTCTCATTTCCGCCTATGAGTTGTTGCTAAGTGCTAGCAGCATAATATCCAATTTTCCAGTTCGGTCTGGGAGGATTTTATTGATTAGTAATAATGTCTGGGTTTTTATTGTGTTTGGGGGACCGGTAAGCATCCTTAAATTGACTGGTGTGATGCCTGGAGTACGGCAGCTTTTCTCCTCCTGGAGCTGCTGTCTGGCGGCGGTGAAGAGCGCGGCAGGTGCATTTATACAGGTGAGCGGTTAGATTGAACCTGTAAGTTGATGCTTAACATAAGTGTAGTTTTACAGATGAACCAGAAAATAAATTTCACATCATCCCGGTCTCAACCAGTGGGTGGCGCAGCGCATCGTGGCGTTGCATGGCTGGTTGATGTTTCTGTGTGTGATGAGCGAAGGTGTCAAAACCCGTTGCTAACATGAACACAAACGCTGTAAATGTCTGGGCAAGGTTAGAGTTAATCTATTAAACTGACTTACAACAAATACAAACTACAAACTGGATATTTTTTATAAGCGTATTTGTGAGCATGCCTCTATTATTAAATTTAATATAATTTCAGATTTTTGTATACATTTTCTTCAGGTTAGCTTATAAACTGAGCTATTAGTGTTACAGGTTAACTTACTTGTTTACTTTTGTGGCACCAAACCCACAACAAACCTCACAATAGTAAAAAAATATAATAATATTTTGACTGTTTCTTCTGAAAAATTATCATTATCAATACCTATAATGGATACGACTGGAGGAGACTAAAGATTTTTTTCTCTCTCTGAGACTTTTAAAGATATTGTGGAGCATTGTTGAACTGTGTCTCCTTTACTGCAGCCCAGAGCGAGCTCATCAATCATGCTCACAACACAACAACACAAATTAGTTCTTTTTGGGTGGCAGTGATTTATTAGGAAGGCAGCTGGATATGTAAGACTAAATTGTTTTTCTTCTCTTTCATAATTCATTTGATTCTCCAAACAACAATTTTTCTGGCAGGTCTTTGTTGTCCTCAGAGTTTGAATCTTTTCAAAGCTGTAGCTGGTGAAATTGTTTCTTTTTCTGTTTTTATTTTTTTTTCTTTCTTAAAACCATCACTAAAGCCTGAGTTATTAGTAACTGGAAGAAGCTGAAGGAAAGCTGAGACAGAAACAAATACATTCTTGGTTGCCATCTTGGAATATGTCGATTTCTGAACTACTGTCAAGTAACATAAATATAATCCCTGATAACGAGACAAAGAAACTTTGTCTTTCCTTCTTGTGTGTTACAATTTATAAAGGAGCAGGACTTGGCAATTAAATTATATTATTATAATCAACTGATACATACTTCCTCAATACATTTTTTTAAAATAACTTACAAGAAAACATGGCTCTGTTTGATAAAACTACAAAACTATTTCTTCACAAGTGAATCAGGCAGATGCTTTGACGCTGTGCGAATATCCAAACACACCCAGAGTCCCAGTTTCTGGGTTTTATTTAATTATGACCTTCCAGAAACTAGGCTGACCATATGAATACATAACTTCCAACATATTCAGACTTCATTCCCAAGCCAACTCCTACTGACCTTACAGCTTGAAGTCCATCTTGTTCGCAGCTCCCACAGATGGCAATTTGGCCACGATCACATGGTAAGGTTACATCTGAAATGTGATTATATGCAGATTGTTTAGGGTGGAAAAACAAAATGAAGGGACATATTTTAAATATTAGGAAAAATAGCCAGAAATGATGTGTATTTCAGGTAAAACCTTCGAAAATACAAAACCGAGGAAACCAACAAACAGCTGCATTTCTGCAGCTGCATATTCAGTCAGTGGACTGGATCACTGTAAATAATTTTCCGATAAGAAATTAAGTGACTCAAAAGGTTGAGGGAATGGTATTAAATTCCTGTGACTGCAGGAATTGCTGAGCTCCTTTGACTGTAAGCACATTTTATTGCATCTTAAATAAGCTTTTCTGTTTTTTCCTATAGCTTCAGATACTTCAATTTCATGCTTGGAAACAGCACTGTATGCTACAGTTCGAGTATTGTTCAAAAAAAAAAAAAGAGGCCGCGGTGTAAAGGTCTACCTGCTTTAATGAATTACTGAGTTGTTTTTATTTTTAAATAAATAAATAAAAAAGGATAAAAGCCTTGGTGCTGCGACAAGTTGAGGCAGCCAGAAAGCATTAACAGATGGGCCAGCGCTGTGGCTTTTTATCAAATATGCTGACAATAGAAAATAATATAGAATATTCCAGCCTAATTCACCTAATGCAGTTGTGAGCTGGAGTCCAGCAGAAAAAAAATAGTTCAGACTCTTTTCTTTTTATAGCTTCTTGTCTGTTGCCATTACCCATTCCAGATCCAGCATGAATTGTTTTGAATGGATCTTAATCTACTGAAATTGTCATAAGGTGGGGTTGAAGTGGTGAGGAGATGACGCAGAGAACCCAGGCTATGGTGAAGATGAATTTAATGATCAATGTAGTTCACATAGTCCAAATCAGGCAGCACGGCAGGAACAACTAGCACGCAGCTAAGCACCGGTAGCAACTGACAATGAAGACTAAATCAACTGGAACTGACGTCGACACAGGACTTAACCAGTACAACTGGGAAGACGGACAGACAGACGCAGACTGCAAACGTTTGACAATTGACAAGGACCCGACGAGGAACACAGACAACAGGTGGGTATAAATACACACGGGGTAATTAAGGGAATGAGACACACCTGGGGAGCAATCAACGGGGAGGACAGGACAGAGACTCACAGGGAAACAGGAACACATTGAAAAACTCAAAAACACACAGAAAACCACGGATCATGACAGAAATAATCACCGTTCTGTACAATAGCCTATAGTTGGACATTTACTGAATTAATTTTCTGTCTAAAAGGGGCAGTAGATGTGGTGGACGTCCACTAATATGACTGGAAAATGAATAGTCGAAGGAGGTCCGATATGCAGTAAGTGCCTCACATCTGCAGGGATTTGGTACCACAACAATCTGCTGAAAACACTCATAGCTGCTTATTTAATAGTTTTAATAGTTATCTCTGCTCTCAGGGGTTCAACCAATCAGCACCATGTCAACATGAATGGCACTCCTGGATTGCCTGCTTTGCAAAATCAGTCAGGTAGCATTGTGTCTCGGTGCTTCATCTTCTCAAGCCGCATTTTGTTTCAAATACGTCAGATATGAAAAAATCTCAGAGCAATGAACAGGCAGGGGGCCACTGTACAGTGATTCATGTCCAAATGCCAAAAGGCATAACTTCCTAGCAGCAATCAATAAAAGTATTAAATTTATCTCCGTCTAGCTAAAGAGGGAGAGACGATGAGTGAGAGCCCAAACGCCAAAACGGAAAGTCAAATGTACGTTTAAATTGTGTGTTTGTAAGTTGCAGCTTTATGTCTCAAAGATTGAGATTTATCTAATCATAAAAACATCTAAAAATTAATCTGGTTGTATCGCACATTTCAGCAACAAGATAGTTCAAAGGGCTTGATATTACATTACAATAAAAATTATATTTTGTCAAATGCCCTCATCAAAATCATCAAGAATAATCATAATTAAACACACATTGAAAAGGTCAATCGATGTTCCAGCTGTTTTTCCATCAGGCAATTCAAAGTAAGCTTTTGTTTTAGCCTTGATTTAAAGGAGCTCAGTGTTTTGCCTGTTTTGCAATTTTCTATAAGTTTGTTCCAGATTAGAGCTTTATAAAAACTCAGTGTTGCTTCTTCATGGGAGACCTGGAAGGTCGTAAATGTATTTTGGTATTCAGGTGCTAGAAGGCTGACTTTGTAATTGTCTTTCTGTGTTTTTGAATGTTCAGGTCTGAGATGATCATTAGTTTCTGGCTGCAGTAACTGAGGTGAACGTGGTGACTCAAAGTAAGTCCATTTCAGTTCAACTTTACTGATCCTGGAATCAGAGTGTATTTTTGATTAATAAACGGCCATTGCTGTTCGTCGACTGAATTCCTCTTTTGGTTTCTGACTGACAATAAGCTTTTTTTTTTTTTTTTATAACACTGTTTTACAATTTTACAAAAATATTTTGCACAAAGCAAATACCCCCATGCAAACTTCTAGCTATTACTTTTGAAAATGAAGTTTGATGTTTGGTTGAGTTGGTTCTTTGCACATCTGCCAAATAAAACGTGGCAGGAATTAACTGAAATTTCCTTTTGGATCAAGGTAATTTTAGAAGAGAAAAAATGCAGCAGAGGTAGCAAATCAAACACATACTAGTTATAAATAATTCTTATCTGTTAGAACATCATTAAAGATGTCTTTTTTTTCCACACATTCAATAATAATTACATATTTGTTCTGTAAAAGACAGAACCTTACATATCTGAAGATGCAGACTCAAACTGCAGAAGCCTAAAGCTGGATTTTACCCACCAAACCAAAACCATTTGTTTGACCCTGTGATCTGAAGTGCAGATAAAGCAGCTTTATGAAAAAAGGAGCTTCAATTTAAAGAAAAAGCTGTCAAATTTAGAAATGCAGACGTAGGAGGCTTCACGCAGAGGCCAGGAGGAACAAGGGCATTAGAGGTGATATCTATCACGAAGATGACGCCTCAGGATTGTCTTTAAGCTTTCTTGGGGTTGCACACATAAATTAGCCTGAGCCCAACTCGAATCAGTCAATTATAGTTGCTGCTGTGATTAGTGTGTGGACACAACCATTTTGTAGGAGTGGGATTATACCTGTCAGCTGAAAGAGGACCCCGACCTTCACCTTTACAAGGTGAAAATCTTCCCTTTAGCGCAACGTGGAAATGAAACACTGAGCCTCCCTTAAGGGCAAAGCATTAAAACAGCTTTCAGTGGCTTCTAATATTTTCCTAGCTTGAATAAAAAATATCCAGCTTTCAAGAGAGATTACCTCATTTTCTCCAGTTATTACAGTCACGTTTATAGAGTGCGGCTCAATAAATTAAAATATCATCAAAAGTTTATTCAGTTCAATAGGCAACTTGTGGTTTAGTGCCTTGCCTAATGAACACAGCTGAATTCAAACTAATAAATGTCTTCCTGCAGTTTATAGGTTCTTCACAGAGTGATATTATGACAATTTCTTTTTGTTAATTTTGATGATCAGCTAATGAATTGGTTTCCTTCATAACTAGAGTATCATTAAACATTAATAAAAAATATTTTAACACAGAAATATTAACTTCCTGTACAGCATTATGCAGGTAATCCAGGGTTGAGCCTCAATTTCTGGCTTACCGTTAGGGCTGGACAATAAATCAATGATATATATTGTGACAAACACGATCAATATCTGATAGAATATTCAATATGTGGGATATTCACTGAACTGATGCAGAACCGCACAGCATTCTGGGAGATGTAGGCAGAACAAAAGCTGTAGTTACTCAACCTAGCTGAGCAAGGTTAGTGGAATCAACTCACTCACTCACTCTTTGGTTACCTAGCAACTCACTTGCTCTTTGGTTACCTAGCAACTCACTCTCTCTTTGGTTACCTAGCAACTCACTCGCTCTTTGGTTACCTACCAACTCACTCGCTCTTTGGTTACCTAGCAACTCACTCGCTCTTTGGTTACCTAGCAACAACCTTCTGAGTAACTGCCACAGCAGCAGTTTATGGTTCAGTCACTTTGCCTCATAACTCCTTAAAAATAAAAAACAATGACGTTGAGTGAAGACTGTGGATGAAACAGGAAAGGTCACAACACCAGTTTGGTGGCAGATTTAAAACAAAAACTAATCAATAATTATGGATAGACTGATAGGAAATGCTTATCGTTTTTCGGCTTTCTTGTGGATGACCGTCTTCCCCACCGTTCTGGAGGCAAAATGTTGGCCATTGCATTTCTGTTTTAAAAGAAAACAACTTTTTCATTTGCCTCATGTGATATGATACTTTCTTATAAACGAAGTTGTTTCCGAGAAACAACCAAGTTGCTTTAATTATTGTTGAGGCAATAATTATAGACACTCACAGAAATAAAGCCTTAAATTATATTACTGTAGGTGTAATGAATCTATAACATAATGGTTTTCACTTTCCAAACTAAATTACTGGACATAATGAAGAGGTGAACTAATGTATCTGCGTACAGTTGTGTTAAAGCTGCTCACAGGGAACTGAAACCGGGCCTGGGCCATCAACCATGAATGTATGTTTCACTGTAGAACATGGCAGGTTTTCATAGGACTTGGGAAACGCAGAGTGTACACCATGCACACTCTGTTCATGGTGTAATTTCTGCCATTTGGTGAATGTGGGCAGTGTAACTTTCACGCCCTCCTTCATTTTGTGCTCTGTTTTTGGAGAGATATACAGTGGAGGTTACTCGCATGCTTTAGAATAATGATTTTTGATTTAAAATATTAAAATTCGTAAAGGTTCTCTCTGTTTTCTCAGCTTAGTCTTTACATTCACGTGGCTTCGTTCCTCACTCCAGCGTCATCTCTCTTCTTCTTCCTTCCTCTTCTGGAGTCATCTAAGGCTGCTCATGTCTCTAAATCCACTGTTTTTGTTCTTTGACCACCTTCGATAATCACCTTCACCCTCAAACTGATGCAAGCTAACGTAACTCCTGAGGGAATTACCATGTGGCTCTTTAAGCTCTTTACCTTACGAATTGCATTGTCTGC